CAAATGACCCCTTACTAAAGGAAAAGGAAGAGGACCTTCCTTGGTATGACTATTATAAACATGAAAGACATAAGCTTAAAAATAAAGCAGAAATCTTGAGATTTATTTTTTTTACAAAAGTGACCTTGACCTAGAGACACCTTACACCACAAAAAATTAGTGGACCGTTAAAGGTATCCACCTACCAAATATGAAAGATATCATTAAATAAGTAATTAGGTGAATTTTTTTGAGAAATTCAACTTGGCGGAATAGGTTAACCATACAAGGCCCTATTTTCAAAGTGATAAAAAGGGAAATTACTGGGAAAATGGATGGCACATTTATATAACTTGGCAATATCATGTACATTGTATTGATAAGTAAGTGTGAAAATTATTAAGCCATTAGTTCAGATAGAACATAAGATATTTCCAACTTGCCGGTTTAGGTTAACCATTATTCATTTTCTAAGTGCTGAAAAGGGCCATAACTTGGTGCAAATTGGAGCCATAGTTATGTAACTTGCCCAGATCATATACTTTGTATAGATTAGTAAGTGTGTAAATTATGAAGCCATTGGTACAGGTAGAACTTAAGAAAAATCCAACTTGCCGTTCTAGGTTAACCTCGTACTGACAGATGGACGGACGGACGGACGAGCAAACATTTGATATTTATGAGTTTCATTCCGTAGTTAAATAAAGAACAAAAACTCATAAAATTCAAGAGCTATTTTTTTTTTGTTTTTATGAGCTAATTTTGCTTATGGACGTTGGTCCAGGTGGAGTTTATGAGCTGATTTGCCTCATAAATGTCAAAAGTTGGTACGTCCGTCCATCTGTCAGTGCGAGGTTAACCTAGAACGGCAAGTTGGACGTACCAACTTTTGACATTATGAGGCAAACGGACGGACAGACAGACGGACTGTTCAATTACTATATGCCGGTGGGCATAAAAGTAATAACTAATCCTAAATAACAAAGCTCCCCTTCGAAAAAGGCTGAGACAATAAACAAAAACAAAACTAGAAATGTGTCGTCACGCCACGGATCCCCCCGCATGCAACCAAAATTTCAGATGTTATAATATTAAGTTCCAAATTTGTTAGCACAAATTATTTTTTCATTTTAAGTTCAAAGCCATTTTTATACAAAGTTAAAGGCACTGAAACTATAAAGTGTTAAGCTTTTGTAAATTGCATATTGCGTATTTGTAGCCAAAATAATGGCTACATACATTTCCACAAAAGTATAAGCGCTGAAAGTGGAAATTCAAAATTTTTCCAACAATCAAGAGAGAAAACTTTGTCCAAAAATCATTGAATCACGACCAAATTTAAATTTGAACTGCTTATTCCTAAGATGTATGTATATGTCAAATTTGTGTTGAATGTGTACCACCATTGGGGAGATAATGAACGGAAACTTAAAATTTCTGAGTTCAAGAGGGATTACTGTCAGCTATCATCAAACCATGACCAAATTCGAAATCGACCAATGCATTCTTATGACATATCCATGTCTTTAATTTGAGTTGAATATGTACAACTGTTGGGGAGAAAATGAATGGGAACTGAAAATTTCAGATTATTCTCAAAGTTAAAGGGGCATAACTATGCCAAAAATCATCGAACCATTCATGACAAAATTCGAACTTGACCTGCCCATTTCTTTGACATATCCATATGTCAAATTTGAGTTGAATGTGCAATACCCTGGAGGAGATAATGAACGGAATCGGAAAATTTCATATTATTTTTAAAGTTAAAGGGACATAACTCAAATGGCCAAAAATCATTGAACCTTGACCAAATTCAAACTTGACCTGCGCATTCCTTTGACCTATCCAAATGTCAAATTCGGGTTGAACATGTAACACTGTTTGGGAGATAATGAACAGAAACTGAAAATTTCAGATTATTTTCCAAGTGAAATGGGCATAACTCTGCCAAAAATCATTGAACCATGACCAAATTCGAACTTGACCTTTGCATTCCTTTGACATAGCCATACATCAAGTTTGAGTTGAATGTGAAATACCGTTGGGGAGATAATGAGCAGAAACTAAAAAAATTCATATAATTATCAAAGTAAAAGGAACATAACTCTGCCAAAAATCATCGAACCATGACCATATTCGAACTTAACCTCATGACATATCCAATTGTCAAGTTTGAGTTGAATGTGTAATACCGTTGGGGAGATAATGAGTGGAAACTGAAAATTTCATATAATTTTCAAAGTAAAAAGGGCATAACTCTGCCAAAAAATCATGGAACCATGACCAAATTCCAACTTGACCTGTATTTTCTCATGAAATATCCATATGCCAAATCTGAGTTGAATGTGTGCAACCGTTACTAAGATAATGAACGGAAACTGATGATGACGGAATGATAGAATGACGGAACAGGGTAACACTATATGCCCCCGCGAGTTGTTAAGTTATTGGTTTATGTACAAGATCAATGTGACTTTGACCCTTAAATCAATAGGGGTTATATACTAGCCAAGACCAATGCACCTGTGATGTTTGAAGGTAAAGTGCCCATTAGTTGTTGATATATTGATTGTAAACCGTTTTTACCTATAAGGTCAATGTGATCTTGACCTTTAATCCCTTGACCCCCAAAAATCCATTAAGGTCAATTCTGACCAAAAGCAATACATTTGTGAAGTTTGAAGGTCAAGATTTCATGGGTTGTCGAGTAATTGATGGGAAACTGTTTTGACATACAAAGTCAATGTGACGTTCACCTTTGACTCCTAACCTCAAAATCAATAGGGGTCATCTACTGGCCAAGACAAATATACCTTTGCACTTTGACAGCCAAGGGCCGATGGGTTGTAAAGTTATTGATCGGAAAATTGTTTTACCTACATCATCAATTTAACCTTGACCTTTGACTCCTTGACCCTGAAATCATTAGGGTTCTTCATCTTCTGGCCAATACCAATGCACCTGTGAAGTTTTAAGGTCAAAGTCCAATGAGTTGATGAGTTATTTATTGGAAACCTGTTTGACATTCAAGGTTAATTTGACTTTGTCCTAAAGACCCAAACAAGAGCACTGCTAGGAGCATTTTGTGCCCGAAAGTGTTTTTTTAGTAAGGATGAAGCATTTGTAAGACATGGGAATTAAATAAATTATTACCTCTTTCAAAAAGCAATCCTCCTTTATAGCTGAAGAACCTTCATATATATATACAGTTGCTGTTTCCAAAGCACCACCTTCAAGTTGTTATCTTGTAAGTTAAAATGCTATGACGGATGGACGGAAAGAGCCAGGGGTATAACATTATATAATCAAATTTTTTAGGGCATATAATTAATGATCTCAATATAAGTCATCATCCTATGAAGTTTGACAGTTGTAAAAGTGTAAACAATATAAAGGTCATTTGATATTGACCTTGCGACCTCAATATAGATATGGATCTTTTATTCAATATAGGCAATCATCCTATGAAGTTTGAACACTGTAAGCCAAATGGAACTTGTGTTATGCTGCAGAATTTTCATTGTTAAGGTCATTGTGACCCTGACCTATGGTCTTATGACCCTAAATCAATACAGGTCATGTGAGCATGGCTGTTCATCATATAAAATTTTACAGCTGTAGGTTGATTAATACTGAAGTTATTGAGCGAAAACCGTTTTTAAGTTTTAAGGTAGTAGTGACCTTGACCTTGTGACCCAAAAACTAATAGGGATTTTCTGCTCAATATTGACAATCATCCAATGAAGTTTGTACACTGTTGGCCAAATGGAACTTAAGCTATACTCCAGAAACCACAATTGTCAGTGTAAAAATCATAGTGAACCTGCCCTTTGACCTTATGACCCCAAAATCAATAGGGGTCTTCTACCCAATATGGACAATCATCCTATGCAGTTTGAATATAGTGGGCCAAATGGAACTTAAGTTATGCTCCGGAAACTGTTTTCAGTGTTAAGGTAAGAATGCCCTTGACCTCCCCAAAATCAATAGGGGTCTTCTACCCAATATGGACAATCATCCTATGAAGTTTGAATATTGTGGGCCAAATGGAAATTAAGTTATGCTCCGGAAACTGTTTTCAGTTTTAAGGTGAGAGTGCCCTTGACCTTTGACCTTGTGACCCCAAAATCAGTAGGGGTCTGCTACCCAATTTGGACAATCATCCTATGAGTTTGAATATTGCGGGCCAAATGGAAATTAAGTTATGCTCCGGAAACTGTTTTCAGTTTTAGGATACAATCATATGTGGTAGGCATATACCTTCCTTAGTACTTTACCTTTGGAGGGAGTTGGGGTTCATTGGGATTGTGGTCAAAAGTGCTAAGCAAATAGATTTTCACATTTTTGCACTAACAAACTTCATTTGTTGACCGATGTCTTTAAATTGTTTTAGTAATATACATTGGATTGACTTAAGGGTCACTGGACTGAAGGTAATGAGTGGTAAAAATATTTTTACACTTTTATTTATACAGTCCTTATTCATCAACAAATGTTTTTTATACGTAATACTGTTATTTCGTATTTGGCAGGAATATAGCTTGGGCGGTCTTCTACCTTTGCATGGAGTTTCGGACCACTCGGGTCAATGTCTAGAGTGCTATTTTCTATTTTTTTCACTTTTGCCTATACATTCTTTATTTATTGACTGATGTCTTTCACATTTGGTTGTTTAATACCTTAATGTGAGGTTGAAGTTTGGTAAAAACTGGAGTCACTTTGGTCCAGGTCAAGAACACCGTGGTCATACATTATTTGATTCACATAACATTGCAAAGTTAAATAAAATAAATAAACTTATGACCACTTTTAGCAAAATTTACTAAATTGGCCCTAACATTTGAGTTATTCAATTCAGTTATAAGGAAAATATGGCTAATGTTTTATGAGAAAGGTTCCTACTTTCAGATCATTCTGAACAAAAACTTACATGTAATTATTTAATTTTTTTTTCTGAGAAAATAAATACATAGTTCAAAAGAATTTTTTAAAATCAGTCAATAAAACTGAAATCATACATTTAGCAAAGGTTCCTCTTCGCATCAGGAGTACAAATACTAAAATAGTTATTAAAGCAGCACTTCCACCTGCAGCCCCTCCAATTATAGCTCCTATGTTGAGTCCTTTTGTTTCTAAATCAAAAGATACAAGAAATGTTTGTTAAACATGTATGCCTCCCTCTGAAATTTATAAATTTTACCTTTTCCTAAATTGTAATTTAATAGCCATATTTTTTAAATCTTTGTTGCAAACAAGTTTACAAATCATGCACTGTTTATTTTTTTTCTTTTGTTTTTGTTCCTTTTTTCTCCTTTGTAATTGTCCGTACTATATTCCCTTTTAAACACCCAAATGGGTTTATTTAATTGTTGCCAACTTAAGTGCTCTCTTTAATCCAACTTTCAAAACAGGACCTGTTGATTACACACTATACATGTATACAGCAGGTGACGTAGATTTTTCTACATAATACACAAATATGGTAAGTACACACGCCGTGTGACAGGTGTAACATACATAATGATCTATTATTATGCTGGCTAGTGAATGGAGTTAATTAACTGGGTTAATACAGTATGATTTGTTTGGTAAAAGACAAGATAATCTAAATTTTCAAGTGTACCCCTAAAAATTTACAAAAGAAACAACAAACAAAAACAACAAAAAAATCAAAGCTTAAAAATTCTGCTGTTATTTAATTTCAAATATTTCTATTCTAACCAGATTAATATTATTTGCAGGATAAGTCCTTTTATTCAATAGTAATGAGAAATGGATTTGCTACACCCCTCCCTTCTTTGTGCATTTAGACAGGACCAGTAAATGAAATCTTAGATAGTCATCAAAGCAGGTGGTAATCATTGATTTCTATACTTGTAGTGTAAATTGCATTTTCAAATAACCATGAAATACTAGTATTGAGACTAATTCGTACTATTTTCTCAAAGGGCTAGATCAATCAAGTAATCATAGTGTATATATTTTTCTCAGATCAATTGTTTTATTACAGGTATTGTCACCTTTTTCCAGACATTGCAAATTTCAATAAATAAGGAACAAGTTTAATTATTTAATTATTTTGTTTAAAGATGAAATAAATGTAAAATAAACAACAACAGAAGTGTTGCATTGTATGTCTGTTATTATTTGAAATAATTAAAGAAAATATCAACAGAAAAACATTTGCCTACATATTATAATTTGTCTAAATACAATTATATTATAATTTGTCTAAATACAATGTACAGTATATCATGGCAGACTATATACTGTGTATTGCTATACTCAGTAAGCTCAAATTTTGTAACAAGTGAAATTTCAAAAAAAAAAAAAAAAATCCCCTACCTACCTACCCACCTCTTGAACTTAGGGTCGGAGCACTACAAACAAACAATTTTTTTAAGGATGGCCTCATAATTACAAATAATTAAGATCCCAAAATCAAGGGGTTTATCTACTAGTCATGGCCAAATCCCAATCAGAATCTTAGTACTGTTGGCCATTAATTTAACATGAAGATTATATTTTATTTCCACAGTAAGGAAAACTTGTTTACTTAACATGAAATTATCACTTACTCACTGGAAAACTTTACACTGTTTGATGACCTACCTATTTTTGAAGATGTAGTGTAATTAAGGCTGCTTGTTGCAGTGCTATTTCCTTCTCGATTGAAAGAGTACATCCGAACAAAATATGTTGTTGAAGGACTTAAACCTGACAGCCGTTTAGAAATCATTTCATCTGATTCAGTTTTTCCATCAAATACTTCAACATCTTTCCATGATTTTTGGTCTGTACTAAGCTTAATCACAAAAGTTTGGGGAAAGCCTCCATGGTATCCTCGTCGCCATGACAAACGGGCCTCATTGAAATTCACATTGTCAATTGTAAGGTTAAAAGGTAAAGTCGGTGGCCCTGAAAGTATTTACACCTCATCACCAATATAAATCATTACAAAACATAGAAAATTTCCCTTCCATTTACCAATGCTTTTAAAAACAAATCAACACTTTTATCATTTTTACTTCAAATCAATTGATAAGATTCAGGCATGATTCTTGTCGCTTGTAAGGACATGTTTAAATAAAAAAAAACATGCAAAAATAAGGTTTCTCCCTCACTTAAGACATTTTCGAGAAATAACATTACATTTAGATATTGTTGTCACTTAAGGCATTTAATGATCAACTTCATCGGGACAACAAATAAATCTGTAACATGATTAGAACATTTTGAGTGCTTTAATGTGCAATAATGTTAAAGGGCAATGCAGGAATTTCTTCTCCAAAAAAGGGATACCTAAGGAAATGGGGGCCATGGTTTGGTTTAACATCGCACCAATACAGTAAAGGTTATATGGCAAAGACGGCCACGAAAGCCTTTTTATCAATGCCTTCAAACAACCTTCACTGTTTAAAACAAACAATTCCCCCCCCCCCCCAAAAAAAAAACAGGGCTCAGTAAGTGAGAAAGATTTTTTAAACAATATTTCATTTTAAATACCTAAATAAATCTATTTTTTAATAAATTAATGTAATAATATAATGCACAGAAAGTATAAATAAGATTTTGTTTCATAAATGTTAGCCCGTGTTTAGTTGGGAAGAATACTCTTAATTGATCAGTAATTTCATTTTCAATTCATATTCTTACTGTTTAAGATAGGATGATGATATGTGTAAAGTGTAAATGTGTGTACACATCACTTTTATTAACATATTTTAGGTTTAATTGCCACTGAGTGCCCAGATATATTAATGATCACAAACAAAGAACTAATTGGCAGACTTCCAGCCTGATCATAAGGTGGAATGAGAAAGTAACCATTTTTTTCTCTGCAAGCTATACCTGCTTGTCTGTTCATGATCCTTAGATTTAGAACACTGAATCTTTGACAAAGGGCCGAACCAATTTCAACCCAAGGGCTTTTATTTGAACAAACTGGGTAGACACCCATTAGAAGATGTTTCGAGCTTAAAAATCTATGCTCTAGCTTTTTTTAAATGTCAAGATTTTTTAAGTTTTTAATATATACATATAAGGAAAATGATATAACCCTCCAGGGCGGGCCAATTTTGACACCAGGGCTTTTATTTTTGGAAAATTGGTAAACACTCACTAAAAGATGTTTCATGCCAAATATTTAAGCTCTAGATCTTTGCGTCTTTTAAAAGAAAATATTTTAAGTTTTTTCTTTAGGTTGCCATGGCAACCAGAGCTTTGCATGGAATTAAATCTTTGAACAAAATTTTTAAAGGTGTCCACCAAAGGAACATTCCTGTAAAGTTTGCTTAGACGTTTATGAGGAGATGTTGTTTAAAGTAAAAGTTACAGAAGGAACAGAAGACAGACCCTGGACGAAAAGTGATCACAAAAGCTCATCATGTCACTTTGTGACAGATGCTTGTCACTTTGTGACATGGTGAATTAAAAATAAACTTGAAATGTGTCCATAAGACACGGTTGCCCCCACCGCGCCACTGTTCTGTCAATCTTATGACTCTAGGTCAAACACTTTTTGAAAACTAAACATTTTTTACTAAGAAAAGGGCAAGAACATTACATAAATCCACGAGCAAACCCCAATGTGCATAAGTACACATGCTGACCAACATTCTTGTAAACTTTCAGGCCTACAAGTGAAATACTTTTTGAGCTATGCATGAACAATTTGAAAATTGCAAATTTATACTACTGTAAGTCAAGGGCAACAACTCTAACAAAACTAAAAAAAAATCCACATGCAAAGTCCCGGGTGCAAAGCTTCACAGTGATATGAATCATTATTCCTTTAATTTAGTGATGTTGATCATTATTCCCGTAAAGTTGGTTGATTCCAACTCAAGCACACATTAGGAACAAATAACAACATAATGAAACAGTTTTTACTAAGTCAAGGAAAATAACTCTACAAATACTGGATAAATCCACAAGCGGAACCCCATTGCAAAATTTTACTTAGTCAAGGGCAATAACTCAAAAATATTAGAAATATCCAGACGAAAATACCCAGGTGCACAACTACACATGCTGATCAACATTCCTGTAAAGTTTCATGACTCTAGGTCAAATACTTTTTGAGTTACATGCGACATAAGTCAAAAATTGCAAAATTTTACTAAGTCAAGGGCAATAACTCTAAAAATACTAAAAATGTCCAGACGAAAATACCCAGGTGCACAACTACACATGCTGATCAACATTCCTGTAAAGTTTCATGACTCTAGGTCAAATACTTTTTGAGTTACGTGCGACACAAAAGAGAACGGAAGGACAGAAGGACGGACGGACGGAAGGACAGACGGACAAGGGTAAATCTAAATGCCCGCCACTAAAGTGGGGGCACAAAAATTAATCCTTATTTTAGATAAACTAGAACTATCACTAAATGTGATTAATACCCCCACAAGACTGCTTCGGAAATGAGGATGTTACCAGTAACAGAATACCTTGTAAAAGAATTGAAATATAGAGTTATGGTTGTGGGCAATTAAAGGTCGTTGTGGTTCTTGTATGATGCATTTCCTTTCAAAGTCGTTGGCCATTGATGAAGTTTTATTGAATTACTCTGTAATAAGTCCAGAAAGACAAGAAAAAGGAACAAAGGGCAATAACTCTATAAATATTGAAGATGGAGTTATAGTTCTTGTGCATTGCACTTCCTCTTATTGTGCTTGACCATTGTATGAAGTTGTTTTGAATTCCAACCAGTAGTTTTCATGTCATGCTCTGGACAAGGAAAAGTAACAAAGGGCAGTAACTCTGTAATAAGTCAAGATGGAGTTATGGTTCTTGAGCACTGCACTTTCTCTCAATGTGCTTGACCATTGTATGAAGTTATAATGAATTCCAACAATTAGTCTTCAAGTTATGGTCCGGACAAAAGAAAGCAATGGAAAAGTAACAAAGGGCAATTACTCTGTAATTACTTTAGATAGAGTTATGGTTCTTGTGCACTGCACTTCCCCTTATTGTGTTTGACAATTGTATAAAGTTGTTTTGAATTCCAACCAGTAGTTTTCAAGTAATGCCCTGGACAAGGAAAATTACCAAAGGGCAATAACTCTGTAATTAGTCAAGATAGAGATATGGTTATTGTGCACTGCACTTCCTCTCATCCTCTCAATGTGCTTGACCATTGTATGTAATTGAATTGAATTCCAACCATTAGTCTTCAAGTTATGCTCCGGACAAAAGAAAGCAATGGAAAAGTAACAAAGGACATTAACTCTGTAATTACTTTAGATAGAGTAATGGTTCTTGTGCACTGCACTTCCCCTTATTGTGTTTGACAATTGTATGAAGTTTTTTTGAATTCCAATCAGTAGTTTTCAAGTTATGCCCCGGACAAGGAAAATTACCAAACGGCAATAACTCTGTAATAAGTCAAGATAGTGTTATGGTTCTTGTGCACTGCACTTCCTCTCAATGTGCTTGACCATTGTATGTAGTTATATTGAATTCCAACCATTAGTCTTCAAGTAATGCTCCGGACAAGGAAAATGCAATGGACGTCTGGACCGACCTCCTATATACCCCCTTCGTTTTTGTATAATGACATAATATATAACAATGAACTACAATGTATCATCATTAACATTAACAAGAGGGCCATGATGGCCCTGAGTCGCTCACCAGAAACAACTGCTTTTCAGTGTTGGAAATCATTTTTCAAAAGAAGTTGCTGAAAGGCAAGTCCAGCTCTTTCGGCAAGTTCAACTCAATTTAACTTGCCCCTCTAGTAATATACTTTAACAACACTGATTGTTTTAGCTTTTTTTCTTCATAATAAACAATAGGGCCACTAAGATGGCCCTTGATCACTCATAACCCATCATTTCATTATTCACAATATAAATTGAAATATTTTGCCCTAATATTTTGGAAAGGCTTTGTTAAAAATATGAATGTTGCAAGTGTGTTCCTATGAGACTATGTAGAATAAATACAGAATAAATGACCACTAGAGCAGGATTAATTTCGACTGGACGCTTTTTTTATAACATTTTTGAATGAAAACACAAAATGTCATATGCAAAACATGTAAGGTGTAGATGTTTGAAGTTTACAGTTTGGGACAACAAACATTGTAAGAAATATGAAAAGTAGGCCAGTTGATATCAAAATTCAATTCAGCATCAGAAATTACACCCCTAGTACAAATTTTAAGTCTGTGTGTCATAAAACACAAGAATGAAGGTCAAATTACATCAAAAATATCAAAAGTAGGTCAGTTGATATAAAAATTCATTACGGCATCAGAATTTACAAACCTGGTCCAAATTTAAAATCTGAATGTCAAAATACAAGAAAGTAGGTCAATTGGTGTCAATAATACCTAAAGTAGGTCAGCTGGTATCAAAATTGAGTTCAACATCAAAAATTACACAAATTACACCCCTGGTCCAAATTTCAAGTCTGTACATAAAAGACAAAGAAAGTAGGTAAAGCGATATCAAATATATCAAAAGTAGGCCAGTTCATATCAAAATTCATATCAATTCAGGATCTGAAATTAAACCCATTCAGAAGTCAGTTGATATCTTAATTCGTTTCGCAGCAGAAATAACATTCCTAGTCCAAATTTCAAGTCTCTATACATCATTCCAAAATCCAAGTCTCTGTACATCAAAAACAAGAAAGTATGTACAATGGTTTCATAAATATCAAAAACAGTTCCACTGATACCAAAATTCTATTATGCACATAAAACTCAGGTTCAACAGTCTGTCCCAAAATTTATTAAAATATGCTTTTTCCAAGTTTAAATCCAATTCAACAAAAAAAAAATACAATTTTTAACAAAATTCAATAAAAAAATGAGCATACAAACTCATCTTTGTTAAAAAAGGTACTGGAGAAACAAATTTAATGTTTCTTTAGGCCTAATTTTTTTTCCTGGTTAATGACCTACAACTGACCTTATGCAATATGATGTCCGAATTCTGGAGCTATGAGATATTTACACATCATAAACAGGTCATGACATTAAGATGAACTCTTTTGGAAAAATTGAATAACATATGTACACATTTCAACGTGAGTTGTTTCCCTTTCATTATGAAAAGATCTTTGAGTCATAGAAATTTATTGAAATTTATGAAATTCTTACTGAAAATGTCTAATTTGGAAACTATGTATGGGAAGCTGCATTTCCTATTATAGGCCAAGTAAAGTTGGTCTTTTCTATATATAAAAAAACAGTTTTTAATGACTTTATCATTATATTGATACTGTGTGAAGAGTTTAAAACATAACATATCTACTTTGCATGAAGTCAAAACACGTTTATAATCCATCGTCAATCTTTTCAAGCATAGAATATCTTTAAACTATAATTTGAAGAAATGCCATGTCTTGGGGCATTTAAGCTTTAGCTTTAAAAGCGTCAATCAAATCAATATGAGCAAACTTGATAAAAGACTACCTAAGAATGCTACAGACAAAGTTTGGTGATCATCCATCAAATATTTCAGTAGGAGATGATGTTCAAAGGTTTTCTATATTTAGCTTTAGTGGCCCCTTTAAGGGGCCAATCAAATTAATATGAACAAACTTGATAAAAGACTACCTGAGAATGCTACAGACAAAATTTGGTGATCATCCATCGATTAGTTCTGTAGAAGGAGATGTTTAAAGGTATTTCTATTTTTAGCTTTAGCGGCCCCTAAAAGGGGCCAATCAAATTAATATGAGCAAACTTGATAAAAGACTACCTTAGAATGCTACAGACAAAGTTTGGTGATCATCCATCAATTAGTGCTGTAGAAGAAGACATTTAAAGGTATTTCTATTTTTAGCTATAGCGGCCCCTACAAGGGGCCAATCAAATTAATATGAGCAAACTTGATTAAAGACTACTTAAGAATGCTACAGACAAAGTTTGGTGATCATCCATCAATTAGTTCTGTAGAAGAATATGTCTAAAGGTTTTTCTATTTTTAGCCCTAGAGGCCCCTAAAAGGGACCAATCAATATAATATTAGCAAACTTGATAAAAGACTATATGAGTATGCTACAGACAAAGTTTGGTGATCATCCATCAATTAGTTCTGTAGAAATAGATGTATTAAGGTTTTTCTATTTTTAGCTTTAGCGGCCCCTAAAAGGGGCCAATCAAATTAATATGAGCAAACTTGATAAAGCACTACCCAAGAATGCTTCAGACAAAGTTTGGTGATCATCCATCCATTAATTCTGTTGAAGAAGATGTTTAAAGGTTTTTCTATTTTTAGCCCTAGAGACCCCTAAAAGGGGCCAATCAAATTAATATGAGCAAACTTGATAAAAGACTACCCAAGAATGCTACAGACAAAGTTTGGTGATCACCCATCCATTAGTTCTGTAGAAGAAGATGTTTAAAGGTTTTTCTATTTTTAGCTCTGCTGACCCCTAAAAGGGGCCAATTGGAATGACATGAGCAAATTCAAGTGTGACTGTCACAAGGATGCTACAGACCAAATTTGAAGTAAGTCTGCTTAGTAGTTTCAGAGAAGAAGACGATTGTAAACGCATGACGACGGATCATCCCCCTTTGATACTAATAGCTCACCCTGAGCCTTCGGCTCTGGTGAGCTAAAAATATGAACAATGTTAAAAAATTTAAAATTACTCACCTTTAGCCACTATTTCAAATGACCGTACAGTAGAGTTTATTTCGTTTGACACAACAACATCATAGCTTCCAATGGCATCTTTTGTTTGTACATGTATTGAAAGTCTCGCACGAACTCCTGCTGTTTTAATGGAATGTCCAAAAACTTTTAAATTAACTTGTGTATTTGTCTCTGTTACACTATATTTAACATCTTCCTGCCTTGATCCATTCACATTTCTATAAATTGTAACATTAGATCCTGCCACATTTGAGAAATAGTAAACGTCATTAGTGGCATTTTCCATAAGCTTTGATGATGTTATTTCACTAAAATTGGTTATGATTGGATATGCTGAAAATGACAATCAAAGACTGGATAACATAGATGTATAACACATTAAACTAATGTTGAAGGTATTTCGGGATTAAAAAAATATTTAAAGAGTGCGGAATTCAAAAAATATACGCAAACTAGATATCTTGAGAGAGATAGTAGAGAGTGACATAGGGGAATAATTCCCCTATCTTTTAAACCTCTGACGAAACGCATTGTACCTGTCCGTTCTGCGGATAATATTCCACGAGTTTATTTTCTAAGGACAATGTTGGAAATCGTTGTTCGGAGTAATTTGATAAATACACATAGAAGAATATTTCTCTTACTTTTTAATGGGTCAATATAGCTGTCATTTATGCGGATTACAAAAGCCTTTTAAATAAATAGCAGTCAGTCAATATCTTTTAAATATGAAATAGAAGGGTTAAAAATTAACGCAAACTGATTTGTTTTCGTTACATGTTTTCATAATTTTGTTCAAGAATATATAGTAGTGAAAAAATACATTCAATATTAATTCTCTTACGTATAAAAAATAATATAATATTGGCTATATAAAACTGATGACATTTATCTGTTAAATTTTTCATCGTATTCTTAAGATCATAAATATGTTTATCAAATAATCATACACGTTTGATTCTTTAAGTTAAATAGAAAACTGTTTTATTCATTGTACAATTGTACATTTATGAATAAATTTTTATCAGTATAAGTTTTCTTTTACTGAAGTGTAACATATGTTTCTTATTTCACTGGTGTCGTAACTACTGTCGTCAATATGCATATTAAAGATAAATAAAAAGAGAGCTGGTGAAATATTTATTTTCATATCACTCGATGAAATAAATCACGTAATTACATAAAAAACCTTGGTATCCCTTTTCATTATATTCTTAAATATCCTTAATATAAATTCTGAAATATTGAGAAATATTGATGACATAAAAATTAGTTTATTTTCCTTGTTTTATTGAAAGGACTGCAGTGAAACATATTTCCGTTTTTTCACTTGTGTCTTTTCGGACTACATTCTTCTAAACTCAGTCAAATTACAAAATTTAAGGGAAAGTCTTTCAAATTTTAGTGTCAAACAAAAGACAAAATTAAATGATAAACAAAAAAGTGAAGTTTATTTTCTATAAATACAGGATTGATTTTCATATTGTGGCATGAAAATGCTGATATTTTACTCGTCGCGAAATATCTATTTTTATACTACAAGAACTTAAACATGGCCTATTAATTCCCCTTTTATCTCCTTTTTTGATTCATCTCCTTTTTGAGCGAATCTTAAAAAAAGTATATTTATTCATTATCTATTTTTAGTACGATACATGTGTTGTTCAAGATAGGTAGGTTAATTGCTAAAAATAAAACAACAAAAAAATAAATAAGCAAAACACGATGGCATGATGTTTGTCAGGCACTAAATAGCATTATATTTCACATCAAATAGTTTAGGTATAGTCTGATATCTTGTTGATTTCTTCTATAAGTCTGTTTGTTCACATTAATGATCCTTTATCTGAAAAAAAGTATTAAAACAACATTAAATTGTTTTATAATAACTTGGTATTACTTTCATCATTATCATTTGTTTTAGTGGTCACAAGAAAAGAAGCGTGAAATTTAATCAATAAGAAAATAACTCTCATTAGATGATTTCATAGCTTATATCTTTCATTCATATAATATATAAGGATTGTATAATACATATTTTCTTCACATTTTCCCTGTCTTAAAGTAGTTTTTATATATCTTTTCTGCACTATAATGAATCGATTATAAGAACAAATTTCACAACACGCTATTATAGCATAATTTAAAGCAAAGCAGTAAGGAAATAGCCCCGCCTATTTTGATTTTTTCTAGCCGATAAACCAGTAAGATCCATTACAGCTGAGATAAGAGTGGACTCATGCCACAGCGGTCAACTGCGAAATCATTCATTATTAATCGGCAACCTGAAGTTCAAGACCTCGTTTGAATTGTTTACATGTATCTGCAATTTGTATCATTTCAACATGGCATATAAAAATACGAGTTCCAGCGTATTGATTTATTATTTTCTTCAAATGTTTTATAAAAGATACAAACAAAAACGCATTTAGATAAATTTTATTCTAAATATTTTAATAATATCGTTATAATTATTTCATTTGTTATAATTATTTCAGTCGTATGTTTTTATTTTTGTATTTAGGGGTAAAGTATGTTTTTTTACAATCTGCACATATAAAGAAAATGTTTCTAAATCATGTTCAATTTTTAAACAAATAATACCGATTTTTGCTCAATTTTTTAATTTCTTCCTCCAAAAGAAAGTACAATTCTTTTTCTTTATTGGTCTCAATATAATCGATAATCGACAGAGAAGTGATATACAAATGTACATGTATATGGAACAGTATATTATTTATTAACCGCGACGCTTTAAGATGTTCACATTATATATTCTTAATCTTATTACAAATACTAACACAAATATGAACACCGCACTACAAAGTAAAGACAAATATTATTTCACCTTAACTGAAAAATTGAAATAAATACCTTGGATTTGCATCTGATAACCACATAATCTTTCGCTCAATTAAAGTGCAATCCTTTTGATTATAAAATAATAACAACCTACCACATTCTAACAAATTTATATATTGTACTTCTGTACACCAATTTTTCAATGGCGGGGACATAGCGTTAAAGTCCGTTAAATTCGTTCCAGATAGTAAATAACCCGTCAGGAATGTTTCATTAGCTCATTATACAAGTTACACCTAAGTGATTATACGAGACTATTACCGCGCTGAACGTGATAAAGGTAGCGATTCCATCTGTCCACTAACTTTATAATAGTTCAAGTGATAGTGTAAGGAGCGGAATAAATGGGTATCTTTAACAGAGAAACTTATTTGCAGAAGATTATGTATTTATGTGTATAAGTGTCTAGATTAAATTTACGGAACTGACTATTTCTGTTTTTTAAAAAAGGGTGTGGGTGTTGGTTTATTTATTAAACATACAAAACTAAGGTCGTTATGAAGATAAATAGCATTGTTTCTGAGATTTCTAAAAAATGATAGTTTCTTATAGAACAATCGTATAAGTAAGACCAGTGTTTGTTCAGGATTAACTGTAAATCTTGAACAAGTATTTTTGATAAATAATGGGAGATTTTAAATCTATATTCGAGGTTGTTTATAGTGCAATTTCTATGGTTTAGTGAGTAAGTGTCATGCAGACTGTAAGGGTCATTAATACAGCGGGTGATAAGAACTGCCAGTATTTGTAATGCAAGCCGAGAAACATTTGAGCGCGGTATGCGTTGTTTATTGCAACATGGCATTTCCGCCACAATGATATGGGAGGCATCGAATCTTCAAATTAAACGTCGGCATAGAAGAAAGTGAAAATGGGGGGGTCCCCGAGAAAAAAGTAAAACAAAAAACATGTTTTGACGCCTTTTTAAATTTTATAGCTTTAATCAAATATACCAAATTTTACTAATAACCCTTTAAAAGTGAAACGAACCAAATTCCCCCTTTAAAAATGTCCGATGCCTAATATTTGGGGGGTAAAATCAAACGTATACAGTACATAGTAGGGTGAAAAAAACAAATTGTTGGGTTTCCAAAAAAAAGAATGGGACAAATAATTAAAGTTTTTTATTGTATTTAAAAAAAAACACATTTTTATTGTAAGAGGGTGTTCAAAATTTTTGGGCCCTTTAAAAAAAACAGCCGAATTTTATTTACCGTCGCTAACCCCAATTTTAAGAAAACCAAAAAAACTCCTTTAAACCCAAGGGAAAAACGCCTTCCAATATAATTGTTTCAAAACTTTCAAAAATCATGTTCAGGTACCCCCGGAAAACGCATTTAAAAACAGGTTTTGTTATCGATGAATGAAATGTTTTACGGGCTGCAGATTTGGCCCAAACCCAAAAGAAAAATAAAAAGTTAATTTTAGTAAAATTTTAAATATTTTGCTACTAAATAAAAATATATCTATTTAACTTCGTTATAAAAAAAGAAATTTTCAAAAATCTTTCCCAAATTGATTTCTTTAAGAAATTTTCGATGTTAAATTTTAATAAAGTATCGTTTGGCCCCGCTGCGAAAACAAGGGGCCCCAAAATTTTTTTCGGGGGGTTTTATGGTTTTTTTTTGAATTGAATCCTGTCGACCCAAAAAATTCAATATAGGTTTTTCTAGTATAAAAAATAACATTTAGGCTTCCCCAGATAAATCTAATACCCCCTAATAAATACCCCCCTTTTTTTTTTTTTACTCAAATTTTTTTGTTAATATGTTTTTTAAAAAATTTCATTTTAAAAGCAATAAAAAAAAAATTTTGCTTTAAAAATTAAAATTTCATATTTGTAAATATGCAAAAATCTAGGGTTTGGCGCGTTGATTGGGCACTACCCCCCGGGGCCCAACCCCCCCCCCCTCACCCCCTCTAAATCCCCCTTTAAAAAATGTAAAATGCGTATTTTCATTTTTAAAAAAGTTTAAAATTTTGGTTTATGTTTAAATTTATTTATCTTCCCAAAAATAAAAAAAGATTATTTTATTTTTTTAAAAGGGAAAGGGAACTCGCGCCTTTTTTTTAGCACTCATCTTTAAAATGAATTTTCCCTAAATCCAAAATTTTTTCATCAATTTTTTAATATCTTTGGTTCCAAATGGTAGGAATTGATTATTTTTAAAAGGAAATTTAAAACTTGGGCTTTTTCAATCTTTTTTAAAATTTTAAAAATGATATTTAATTCGAAGTCGTCCAAGTGTAATCGACAGAGACCTGACCCCTGGGTTTTTTCAAAATTTCCCGATAAAAGGGAAATTAATTCGAAAAAGAATGAAATTTTTTTTTATTTCGCATATAAATATGATTTAAATTTTATTTTATTTGTTAAAAGTTCAAACAAAAATCATTAAAACCATTTTTCAAAACCCTTTCCCCATATGTCAAAATTCCAAAATTAAAAGCAAATAATTGTTTTGCAAGTG